CTTTTTTTAAAAAAAAATCCTCCTTATCTATTGATTACATTTAAATATACTGTATATCCTGCCTTTCCTCCAGTGGATTTAAGGTTTATACTGTTCTCTTCTATCCTGTTTTATATTCACAACCACCCTGTAATTGACTCTAGCCTGAGAGGCAGTAACTGGCCCAAAGTCAGCTAGTGAATTTGATACCTTACTGGGGACTAGAATGCTGGTTTCAAGGCCCATTTGAGCACGCTAACCACTAGACCCCGCTGGTTTTGTGAGAGGAGCAGATATTTAAAGTGGACTCCTGATTCCTTGGGATGGGGCAGTATTGGGCATTTGCTGCGGCCAATTGCCAGCAAAGACCCCCCCCATTCTCGACTGGTTCGGGGTGGACTCTTCCATTGGCCATACTGGGTGGGGGCGGGGGCGGCTGATGGGAGTTGTGGGCGATCACATTTCAACAGCCAAGTCTTCCCCTCCCTCTTGGTATGCCCATTTTAAAAGGTTTAAACATTGACACTTCTCCAGGGTGAGTCATAGTACTCGTAAAACATTAATCTGGTGCCCTCTGTTCCTGCGAAACACGGCGGTTCCGTCATACATTAAAATATTCCATTTAAATGATTGTATAAGGTGGCAAGCAGTAGCCCGTCAGTCACAGCTTAGCCAAGGTGGGTCAATTGCCTTTTCTTTTCTCTTTCCTTCTTTCTTTTTCTTCCTCCCTCCCTTTTATCCCCTCCCTTCCTTTTCCTCCCTCCCTGCCTTGAGGAAGTGTTTTGATATGTTGCTTTAGAACACTGCCCTCCGGGCTTGGATTTTTTAAAAATTATGTAGGTTGGTTTGCCCTTTGACCTTCTTCCTTTTCGAACAGAAAAGTCTCCAGGCAAAAACAAGAAGCAGCCGATCTTTCAAAGATCTTCCTTCGAACTGCTCCCTCCCCAGAGCGATGAGGGGAGAACCTCAGGTACCCCAAAGCGAGCTCCTGGCCAGACTCTAGGAACGGGACTCCTCGGCTCCACTTCCGCCTTGTTCTTCCTGGCGGCTCAAGAGGACCACTTCGCTCCGCCCAACGAGAGCCTTCGATGGGAGGGGACCCTGGACGACCCCGTGGCCGAAGAGGAGAGGCTGTGGAATTACAGGCTGAACCGAAGGAAACGCTACGGAGCCTTCCTCCAGCAAAACCTGCCGCCAACGCCATCCTTCACTCTCAGGAATCTGCCCGAACTTTGTCAAACTGCTCAAACGAATGGGGAATATTCACCGGTCAGGAGCGAATCCTCTCTGGATACTTCAGGGAGATCAACAAAAACTAAAGCAGACTTGACTTCTCAGATCATAACCAAAGGCTCAACGAGTCAGCCAGGATTGTGCTGAACAATTCTCAGGAAACATGTAGAATGTTCAAGCATTTCTTCTCTTTCTTTCTTTTTTTTAAAAGCCAAAGACTCACCGAGATTTTGATCCGAGACAGCAGTTCTCTGAAACCCACAGGATTCTTAATTATTTTATCAGCAGCCATCCACATGGAACAATATTCCATTTTATAAAATTCTGTGTGAACGGCGAGATAAATAAAGTCTGTGTTTTGACGGTGGCCCTTACCTACCGGTAAATTGTCAGCAGCATCAAATGAAAGGGGGGAAATCCATATATAATAGGACCATGATATCTGTGGGAGGGGGGCGTCGTCACTTCCAAGCCCCCTACAATGCCAAAAAACAGAGAAGTATCAAACAATATACATTGTGTGGTCTCTGGCTACCTCGAGTAGCCAGTTCTGGTAAATACATCCTGGAAATACATTTCTGAGTGTTTTTATATAGTATTTTCAGGCAGTGAGTAAATGAATCTGTGGATACTGATCCCACAGATGGAGGGGGGGTGTCCTACTGTGCAGTGAAGACTCCATCTTCAACAGTTTAGGTCCAACAGAATTTAATCATGTGTTGCATGCTGAATATCACTTAGATAATCAAGCAGAAAAGGTTTTATTCACACGTATCAGTATTCAAACTGCAATCAGCACAAAGGGTATGACATTACAATTAAGTGCCATCAAATCAGTTCTGACTTACAGCAACCCTCCCAGGTTTTTCTGAATATAAAGTTTTCAGAAGTGGCTTATGCGCCTTCTGGTCTTGCTTTGGGAGTATGTAACTTGCAAGGGCGTGCATTCTATTAAAATGCCTCAACACTGGGTGCAAACTTATATGCTGGTTGCAATGTCATTTTAATGAATATTAAACCACTGTTTTTCCTTCTTGCTTTATCACAAGCTTGCAACTGCTTATATTTTACGTTGTCATGCAGAAAGCTTCCTTTACTTCAGCAGAACTCACTCCAGAGTAGAATTCTAAGCTTGGGAACCTCTTATTTTTCCATTTAAAGGAACTCCAGAATCTAGCAGTTTTCCAAACATTTACTTATGGAACAAGCAGGTATACATCAACCTAGGCCTTTTTAGTCAGCACAATGAAGACAACACACTTGCAATTATGTTCTTCAGATAATTTATTATTACTTTCAAAAGATCAAATTAAAAGCAAATTAGAAACAGTTGTGGGAAGAATATATTGCTTCATAGACTTTGCACAAGGACATCCAGAACTCCCCAGAAATATAACAATAAGATGCAGAAAACACACTCTCTTTTAAAGCTTTTTAAATTTATGTTCCTTGTTGAAATAACAATAAGTGTTAACTTTTAAATGGTGTAAATGACACCACTTTTTTGAAAAAAAACACGTTTTCTTTAAAATAAAAAGTACATTTAAGATCAATCCATTTTAAGATTAAAATATATTTTACTCTTAAAATATTTGAGACATTTAATCTTAAAATATTTTAAGATATTTAAAATAGAGGCAAGGGTAAGGATTTTTTTTTTTAATTTTAAGCCCTATACAAGGATTTTATTAATGAACTCCTTAACAAATGCAAAACAGAAACCTCACGGTAAATCTACCCGGGAACAGCATCACCATAGCATAGGTATTCAAAAGAGACTCCCCCACATAAAAATAAGTTAAAGGGATTAAACGATGGGGATAACCCTTATATCTCTTTCCGATCACTCTCCACTAGGTGTACAGTGAGAAATGAGTTAGATGCTAGTCTTCTAACAAAACAACCTTAAAAAAATATTTCTTGCCCACTGGCAAGTCATATTTTCCTTTAAACTCTCCTCTGTGCAGCCACACCTTAGACTTTAAAAAACATCCTAAAACTGCTTTAGGAGATAAATTTGTAGAAAGGAATGAAGCCAGTTGGCTGTAAACACGACCAGAAATCCAGAATTACACTCACAGGACTGATAAGATGCTAGTGCTTTGTTTGCATGGCATATTCCAATTTTTATAGAAACGAGATAAGTTTGGGCTGGGTGAAGTAGCAATATAGAAATATATGCAACCATAATGAATCTGCTTGCTAACCGTTGTCCATACCAGATTCTCTCCACTGTAATACCCAGAAGACGACAAATACGCTGTTGATTCCAACAGAGAAATATCTCAAAACTCTTTCATCTCCTACTACAAAAATGATTCTGCCTTCATATACACAGACACAACATCACAAAGGATCGGTCAACACTTACTCTAATCTTCACTTGCAATAACAAACTTAACCTAAATCTCATGCTGGACCTTAGAGCCGTTCGGGATCCTTCCCACGTCACAGACTAAAACCTCCTAATGATCCTTTTTTAAAAAATTCTGGGGAACATCACTTCTTCAAAACATTCTCTGGCCCCCTTCGAGGCAACACACTCCAACACGCGAGACCGGAAAATATTTCCATTCCGATCAACCGAAGGCACTTTAAAAAGAAATTCAACTGTTCTGTATTGGAGGAAGATTTAGAAAAAGGTACTTCTGAGCCACCCATGTCTTTGTCTCATTTTTTGTTTATTTAAAAAAAACACTATTCACCCCCTTTGCTGACGCCATAACAAATGTGAGCATTTTCAAGATGCTCGGAGACTCTTCCTGGCTTCTGTTTATAAACAAACAAACAAATAAATAAATAACCTTGCACTCGAACTTTTGATGGGTTCCTAGGGAACGGCTGCTACGATGAATTACCTAAACCATGCCATGCTGAACACCCAGCTGAGTGTGGAAATAAAATAAAATAAAGTTGTTTTTTTAAATTGGCAACCAACTTCAGATAAGTGGAGCCAAACTTCTGTGCCCAAGGTGCCAACTTAACGGAGGACTCTGGAGCCAAAGAATTGGGCCAGAAACAGCTTTAATCTCCCTCTCACAACTGGGAAGCATCCATCCATCCAGGTAGATAATTGCTTTCAAAATTGGCAATTTCCAAGTGGATCCATTCTGTTCCAAAATCCTGGACGATTCTTACAACGATTCTCAGCTGGCTGCTTGGATCCATCCGGTCTGACTCTTGCACTTTGAAGTAAAAAAAAAAGCATGTATTTATCAAGAATATAAACTCACAAACCACTCCTTTGAGGACACCATGACAAATCTTATCATTTTTAAAGTGTCCGAAGAGATGTTAAGCCACAGATGCCATTCGGCATCCTTATTTTGGAGGAATGATTCAGACCACCTGTTTTGGGCACAGCTTTCTGGAGCCAAATCAAGGACCTCAACCCAGGCAGACACCGGTCCCGAATCCTGCCTTAACAACTTGGCGAGATTCACTGCTGGATCCCGAAGTTTCTAAGGACACGGTACACTCATGATCGAAAAAAGGAAATGGTCTAAAATTGGGCCACCTGCACGCTCAGATGCTCAAAGCGCCACCGCAAAACCACCTGAACTGTGACAGTCGCATCTATTATGTTCATAAAGTCTCAACTATTTAAAACACAATTCCCGATCACACCAGGATAGTTGTTAGCTTTACACCTGCTAGAGAAGCAACAAAAATGTCTTAGCAAAGTAAATCAGAACAAATGTTTCAGCAAATTTTTAGTGAATTAAGCGAAATGGAAACAAAACTGCATTCTGGGAGGGAAACGCAGAGCGTACCGGTATGGCCAACTCACAACTGTGCACGGATCACGACCGAAAGCGGACTGCCTTCTACGTATGCAGGGGTAGTAAATCCCCCTGTGTACAACCACCATTGTGAAAGGCACCAGCTGCACAACAGACTGTTGTGATCACGATAAACACAAAAGAGAATTTCGGGTTTCTAGAACGGAGTGCATCAGGGAACTGTAAGCTAACAGTCTTCCTGCGCTTTACATATAAAAGCCCGTTTAAAGACTTAAACTTATTAAGATTCATTTCCTCAAATAATTTCTTGAAATAGCAAAGCCTCCATAAACACTGGTGGGTTCGTTTTCTTTTGGCAACGCAGCAAGATACAAATGGATCTAAAATTGCGAACTGCCCACCACCCAGCTTGCCTCAGCAAAATCTGCACGCCCTCCTTCGAAGTCCTCGGAGGAGTGGAAATACATGCAAAAATTGTGGCTTTAAGTGAGGATCCTGGCTTTTACATTTTAAGCAGGAAAGAAAGAGGACTCATAAGGCAACCCATACAGTTCGCACACCACAAAACATCCAGTTAAGGGGGTCGGTTAAACTCGGTAGCGTTCATCTCCGGTTCCTCATCTTGAATGAAATCAAGTTACTTCGGCCTTCGGAAAGAATGATTTTCATGGCGCACACGAGAACGGCCAAGGCAGTGGGGGGGAAATTACAGTTAAATTAAAGGGAGAAAAGTGGGATGTTTTCTTATGGACAAAAGATCTCAATTCCTGCAAACAACGAAATTTAGTGGAGCCCAACAGAATCCTTAAGGCTGAAGACCCACGCTTGGAGGGGAGAGGTAGCAAAAGACGAAATTCGCTCAAGGGGGAAGGAAGGCTACGGGAGGTTTCGTTGATTTCTCTTTTTCCCCGTTCGGTGGAGACGGTTGCCAGACGCACCCCAGAGCCGAGCATACCGAGGGCGGGCGAGAGAGAACAGCCCGGCTCAGCCGCTCTCGTTCCCCGAAGACTCCAGTTCCACGCTGGACAAGAACCTCCGTGTGTACTTCCGACAATTGTAATCCAGTGTGGTGGTGTACACGGTGGTCGTGTTCTTGGGGTAGACGATGGTGGTGCTGGCGAAACTCCGGGCCCGGTGGCGAGGCTGAAAGTGCACCTCGGCTTTGTAGTTACGCCACGTGCAGTCGGGGACGCAAACGACCGTCTGGCTGCAGGAGGAGAGACCCAGTCCCACCGGCAGGTAAATATTATTGATGAAGTGCTTTTCCGAGTCGTATTTCACCGAGGAGGTGTACCTGGGACGGCGCATTGAGAGAGAAAACAGTCACGTTAGCACCGTTCTTTTTTTTTTTTAATCATCATCCTCCACAATAGGAAGCAGCAATCCAAAGTTCTGTCTGACACTTTTTAGTGCGATCTGCCCAGGTAGCTATCTCTGACATTACAGCCTCAGACTTTTCATCTCGGGGGCCTGAATTCAAGTCAAGCGTTTCTGTTCGGAGAGCCTGTGTCATATACAGTGGGGTCTCTACTTAAGAACTTAATCCGTATTGGAAGGTGGTTCTCAAGTTGAAAAGTTCTTATGTTGAATCTGCAATTCCCATAGGAATGCACTGAAAACCATTTAATCCGTATCTGCTTTCTAAACTGTCATATACAGTGGGGTCTCTACTTAAGAACTTAATCCGTATTGGAAGGTGGTTCTCAAGTTGAAAAGTTCTTATGTTGAATCTGCAATTCCCATAGGAATGCACTGAAAACCATTTAATCCGTATCTGCTCTTTTCCGTCCATAGAAACTACTGTATAGTGGACAGAGCGATGAACCTGGCTTCAAATCCCTGCTCAGACATGGCAACCCAGGGAGCGGTGGAAATGGGGAAACCGCTCCTTAGATATAATAATAATCATCCATCCTCTTAGAAGTGCAGAGCTGGAAGGGATCCTCTGGATGATCTAGTCCAGACCCTGTCCAGGAGGCCCCGTGGGGGGATTCGAACTCCCAACCTCAGGCTCCCCAGCCAGAGACCTTACGTACTCCAAAAACCCAATTAAGGTCATCACAAGTGGGGTGCAAGGGGCCAGCATGCAGTGACAGAACAACGGGGTTTAGCCAAACATTCAGGAAACCCGTTCGTACGTTGCTGTCTCCAGGATTCCACCCCACAAAGACCCCCAACTGACACACTCCGTCCCTCCCAATGGAGGGAGCCAACTCAACTGCCCACGTGGCAGGCAGGCAGGCAGGCAACCACAGGGCCTGTGTTATCCGTGGCGCTGTGCGGTCATGGCTAAAAGTCCCACAACAGGGACAGGGAGAGCGTGGGAGGGACCCTGGGCCAGCCCTCTTCCCCTCTCAGCCTACGCCAACCTCACAAGGGTGTTGTGAAGAACACAAGGATCCTTAGGGGAATGACGGATTTTTTAAAACAAAAAAATAATAAGGTTTCAACTCTCCGTCTGCATCCGACGTCCGGTTTGGGCCATTCTTAAGGGACCTTGGGCAATGCGCCCGAGATCCCCGCCCTGACCAATGGGGAATGACGGATTTTTTAAAACAAAAAATAAATAAATAAGGTTTCAACTCTCTCTCTGCATCCGACGTCCGGTTTGGGCCGTTCTTAAGGGACCTTGGGCAACGCGCCCGGGATCCTCGCCCTCACCAAGGTGGCGGAGAGAGGCGACGCGACACACCCGAAACAGCGGCGTAAAACTCTGCACGGATACCTTATATCTTTGGGTGGCAAGGGGTCAAATTCCACTCCTTCTCCGAAGGAGAGCGCGCACAACCGCGCGGTGCCGCCAGGAGGGAGTGGAGTGACGGGTCGTGAAGCATCCTGCAAAATCCCAAAACAGAAAGTCAGAAGACCATGTCCCGATAAAGGAGAAAGTCGTGCCTCTTAGGAGATGAAAAACAGAGGAAAGCATGAGATATTTTCAAAACATACAGTGATTCCAAGTCTGTGCGGATGATTTCCATTCATTGAACCATTTGCTTACAAACATAGCACTTTACGTACTATCAGAGTGTTGCTCTTTCTCGTTCTGTACCGCCTGTACCACCTGTAAATACATCAGGGCTCTTTTGCGCAGCTCATTCCAAACTAAGGTTCTAGTCCTCATGCTTCGGAATAAAGATCTGATATAAACCTGGACATAAATAGCTGTTTTTTATTTACTTAGGTAAAATCATCCTGTCCATCTGGGCCCATTTTGTCTACGCTGACCGGCTCTACAGTAGGCGCTGAAATCGGAAACCTTCTGAATACAAAATACCGTGCAAGGCAGCGGTGGTGTAGTGGTTACAGTGCCGGCCTTTAAGACCTGAGAAATCCCAATTGCAGCCTCTACTGAGTCCTAAAATTGAGCCTGTCGCTCTCTCTCCCTCAGCCTGACCCACCTCACAGGGTTGTTTGCTGCACGAATGAAGCAGGGAAGGTTTGGAGGAGAACCCCTCGCAAGAGCAAAGCCGTGCCCTGTTTTCAAATCACAGCCTTTCTGTGATTTTTAAGACCGTTTAGCTCCGTCTCGAACCCACACGGGGCCCGCAACTGTCGTTCCTAGTATTTTAAGTAAACAGCAGAGCCGAGGGACGCGAGCGAAGCCCAAAGGCGCCTCATACAGAGGGCAATCGCAACAGAGCAGGAGTCGCGAACTCTTGTTTTCTTTTAAATCCAAGTTAGACCAACCCGGTTCCCACAAAAATGTCGTCGGCCGAGCTACCGTCCTGGCACCGAGCGGGAGAGCTGGACCGCTTTGTCATCCCCTCCCTTCTTTCCTGTCTCCGGTCCAACAACCCCAAAAACAGCCACCGATTTCCCAACATCCAGTCGTTTCGGCTCCTGGAACGTTCAGGATCCGATCCGAAGCAGACACGGATTAGCCCCTTCTTTGGCTCCTCAGCTGGATGAAGTGGGGAGCAGGTACCCTGTATCGATGGATGGCGGGGGGGGCTGCCCCGTGGCCCCAGCCGGCTATCCCACTGGTGCAGCCTGCCCACGCACGGATAGGATTTCTTGACTGTTACGCTCCCTGGGGCAGACTCTCCATAGAACAGCACTCCTCCTTTAGAGCAGGAAGGCCTAGCAGTTTCAACAACGACGTCTGCTCCTAATCAAATTTCTCACCAGGACCGGGAATAACAAACGGGCCACCATCTGGCACTCGCTGGCTGGCTCTCCTGCAAAGTCTGTGAAAGCATTTTTAAAGCAGCAGCTCCTATGTATGACAATTATGGGATGGGGGAGGCATCCTAAGGACAATTGCAGAGGGGGAAAAATGCCTAGCAAAGATCTGGTTTTTA